TCATGTGTGTAATTACTTAGTTATTTTTATGTGTACAAGCAATATGATTTAGTACGTATGATTTATGAAGACAAGCCAAAAGACATTGAATTACGTTTGAACCTCAAAAGTTTATAAAAAAGGGGTTAACCTTAAATGCATACTAATCACATGTGAAAACAGATATGCTGAACCCGTGAGTCTTTCATTGATAATATAAGAATATATATACAAGATGTATCACACTATTTTCGGTATAAGATATGTACAATATCTTCACTAACAAATGTCTAAGAATACAAGGGAAGATAATCTTGGCTAATAATAAACTCGGCTAATATACCCCCGCAGTCGAATCGGGAGGAGCACGGACGTTGAGACTGTTTTTAAACTCATCAAATAGCACGAGAGGGAGACCTTTGGTGAAGATATCGACGACTTGATAGCGTGAGGGAATGTGAAAGACACGGATTTGACCATGAGTAACTTTTTCCCGAACGAAATGTATGTCAAGCTCTATGTGTTTAGTTCGTTGATGTTGAACTGGGTTGCAGGATAAGTATATCGCACTGACATTATCACAGTAGACGAATGTGGCTTTACTTTGAGGCAAGTGAAGTTATAAAAGCAAATTTCGTAACCAACATGCTTCGGAGACGACATTCGCAACGCCTCGATACTCCGCCTCGGCGCTTGAACGGGAAAGAGTTGGTTGTCGCTTCGATGACCAGGAGACGAGGTTATGTCCCATGTAGATAGCGTATCCGGACGTCGAGCGCCTTGTATCCGGGCACCCCGCCCAATCAGCATCTGTATATGCGACAAGGGAGCGTGTGGGTGATCTAGAGAGGTGAAGCCCATGATGGATTGTGCCTTTTATGTAGCGTAAGATTCTTTTTAGAGCGTTGAAATGATTTGTTCGAGGGGCATGCATATGCATGCAAACTTGCTGAACTGCATAGCATATGTCCGGGCGTGTGAACGTAAGGTATTGAAGAGCGCCAGCTAGCTGACGGTAATGAATACCTCCATCGGAGAGTAGAGTGCCATCATTAGTGCTCAATTTGGATTTTGTGTCGACCGGTGTGGATGATGGATGACAAGAGCTCATGCCAGCTCTTTCTAAGATTTCAGTGGCATATTTTTGTTGGGAGATATAAATGGAATCCTTGTTCTGTGTGACTGAAATGCCAAGGAAGTAGCTTAGAGGGCCAAGATCTTTCATTGCAAATTCCTTGGCTAATAGCTTCATGAACTGTTGGCGAAGATGAGGTGATGATGTCACGAACAAGATGTCATCTACGTAGAGGAGTATAAATGATGTGTGTGAGCTGTTCTTATACACAAAAAGAGAGTGATCACACTTGCTGTGTTTGAACCCCATGGTGAACACGTAATCGGCGAACCGTTGGTACCAAGCCCGAGGTGCTTGTTTGAGGCCGTATAGAGATTTCTTAAGTAAACAAACATGATTCGGATAGGAGGTATCCCGAAACCCTGGGGGTTGATGCATGTACACAGTTTCGTGCAAGTTCACGTGTAAAAATGCATTTTTCACGTCAAGTTGGTGAATTTGCCATGCATTCGAAAGAGCGATGGAAAGTACTGTGCGGATTGTTGTTGGCTTTACCACAGGACTAAATGTTTCTCCACAGTCGACTCCTTCCTTTTGAGACCTGCCATCACAAACTAAACGAGCTTTGTATCGCTCCAAATAACCGTCAGATTTAATTTTGTGGCGATAAATCCACATACTCCGTACCACATTCATATTTGGAGTTTTTGGGACTAACTCCCACGTGTTATTGTCAATAAGGGCCTGGAATTCATTGTGCATGGCAGTATTCCAATCCGGATTTTTGAGAGCTTCAAAACGATTTTTAGGTAAAGGAGAAAGAGATGGTGATGCATGCAGAATGAATGGTTGTTTTGGTTTAGAAATCCGAGACATGCTCCTAGTGTGTATGGTGCGAGTTGGAGCAACCGTGGGTTGTGACATGGGGGGAGGGAAGGATGTCGTCTGTTGTGTGGTCGGAGGTGGAGTTGGACCCATGGTGGAGCGACGAGAGTAAGTGAACTGGATGGGTGGTTTAGGGGGTGGTGTGGGAGTTGGTGGTGGTGTAGGTGATGGGTCATAAGTTGACCACAGGGAAGGATGATGTTCTGTTTCGAGATTTGAAGGAGTGGAAGGAGTGGATGGTGGTGATGTCAATTTAGAGAATGGGAATATTGTTTCGTCAAAGATGACATGTCGGGAAAGAATTATGGTACGATTTTGGATGTCATAACACTTGTACCCCCGATGGTTGGAGGGGTGACCCAAGAAAACGCAAGGTAAGGATCGTTTGTTTAATTTATGGATGGTGGTGGATGAAGTAAGGGGATAACAGAGACAACCGAAAGTGCGTAAATGAGAATATATGGGTTGGCGATTATATAAAAGGTGAGTAGGTGTGAGTTTATGAAGAAGATTACTAGGAAGAATGTTTAGGAGATAAGTGGCATGTTGGAGGGCATGGTGCCAAAAATGTAATGGTACCGTGGAATGAGCAAGAAGAGTTCGTAACACATTATTGATTGAACGAATTTTTCATTCTGCTTTGCCATTTTGCGGAGAGGTGTGTGGACATGAAAATCTAAACTGGATACCATTTTGAGAGAAAAATTGATGAAAGTTTTGATTGTTGTATTCGCGGCCATTATCACACTGTATTGTTTTTATGGTGAAGTGAAATTGGGTTTTGATGAGGGTGAAGAATTGAATGAAAGTAGAGAAGACCTGGGATTTGTGTGCAAGTGGGTATGTCCACAAAAAATTAGTTCGTCGTCTAGAAAGAGTAGATAATATCGATGACCACTAGAACTTAACACAGGTGGTGTCCATAAATCAGTGTGAATTATATCAAAATGTAAATGAGTGATAGAGTTTGAAACAGTAAAAGGAAATTTAGATTGTTTTCCAAACACACAAGAAGAACAAACATGTGATAAAGTTTTAGAACTAGAATTAAAATTCAACGTAGACTTTAAAGAAGATAAAATATCAGATCCCGGATGACCGAGCCGATGGTGCCATAGATCTTTGGTTATTGCATCGAAGAATTGGTGTCCGCGTCCGGAAATCCTTCACATCAAAACCGAAAGGGTCAAATTCAACAGAAAGATTGTTGTCAGTAGTAAAGCGACGAATAGACAGGAGATTTTTTATAACATGAGGAGTGTGAAGGACATTTTTGAGAACTAAAGGAGGGAAGGGGTAAGGAAGAGTTTGATGTCCGGTGCCTTGGATTGGAATAGTCGAACCATTACCGACAATAACATTCCGAAAAAGGCCATTATTTTGATAAGACGTGAAGTTACCTGAATTATTCGTCATGTGTGAAGTTGCACCGGTGTCGGCATACCAATTGCTATCAGGTGGGTGAAGCGACATTGTGTGGAAAGCTTGCTCCAAATCTGTTGGTGTGTAGTTGGACTCGGATGCACTGTAGGCCTGCTGGGGTCGGCTTCCAAGGATACCGGGTCCGTTAGATGGAGGCCTAGGACTACTAAGTTGCTGTGTAGGATAGGGACACGGTGGATAGGCCCATGGCGTGTAGTTCTGAAATGCCCAAGGAGGTGGTGTAGTCCATGGTTGATAGGAGCGTGATGTACCAGGATTGTATTGAGGTTGATGTGATCCGCTGTTGTAGCCTCGTCCCCTGCCATTGTTCGATCGACCTCGACCACGACCTCCTCGGCCACGACCCCGCCCACGAGAACTGCTGAAGTCTGGTTGTTGATGATAGAATCGATTGTTATTTTCAATAGTTCTGGGGGGCGTCGTGGAGACTGTTAAAGCAGTGGCGGTGGCGCCGGTGTTGGGTGATGCTGTGGCAGTGGTAGCTTGGTGAGCTTTATGAGATTCTTCCATGACTAGTTTTGATCGAACTTCATAGAAGTCAGGAAGAGGAATGGTTTGTTGTATGAGCATGGCGACGCCTTCGTAACTTTCATTGAGGCCAGCAATAAGTTGCAGGACGAGTCTTTGATTTGACACCGGGTTTCCTACGTTGGCAAGTTGATCCGCCAACATCTTCATAGCTTGGCAGTAGGAGGAGATGTTAGGATGATGATCAAGACGAGTGGATACAAACTTGCTGTCAAGATAGACAGCCCTTGAACTTTGATTGTCTTGAAAGATGTTTTCTAGAGCTTGCCAGGCCTGTGATGCGATAGTGTTAGGCTTGAGGATGGTGTGGAGAAGATCATTGGAAATTGAACTGTAGATCCATGAAAGGACAATTGCATCTAGTCGGGACCAAATTTCATATTCAGAAGTGCATTTGGCCTTTTCTGCCTCAGTGGCTGTTGAGGATGAGGGAGCAGCGGGTGGTGGTTTGGCTTGGACATCGATGTGATTTTCGACTTGGAATGCTCGACAGTGAATTTTAAATAACTCAGCCCATGAAGTGTATTGGCCGTTCTCCATCTCAAGAGTGAAAGGGATGAAGTTTCGGATATTGGTGACTGTGATGGCAGGGTGATTTTTAGGATCCATTAGAGAGGAAGCAGATCTGAAAGAAAGAGAAGAAGGGAGGAGAAGATCGGCGGCTGAGTAGGGTTTTTAGATGGTTGTGTGCTCTGATACCATGATAACAGATATGCTGAACCTGTGAGTCTTTCATTGATAATATAAGAATATATATACAAGATGTATCACACTATTTTCGGTATAAGATATGTACAATATCTTCACTAACAAATGTCTAAGAATACAAGGGAAGATAATCTTGGCTAATAATAAACTCGGCTAATAACATGTAACTAGGTGAACCAAGTTAATTTGACATTCTCTGATTTTTACAAATAAAATCAACAATGTTCATGAGGATCATAAGTAAATCAAAACAACACAAATAATACCTCATTCAGTGATTTACATTTTACATTGAAAAACTATCTATTAATATGAAAGCATGTCAAGAACTTATTGAAACCAAATTAACTAGCTCCACATCATATTTCTCACACACAAATGACTATTTAAACAATGTTTTCAAACAGAAACAAATATCATTCATTTCAGGATGAGAAACATCTCCAGCAAGAAACTCATAAACATTTCCATTAACCTCAATAGAACTACACCCAGGCTCCTTTCTAACTCCATCACCTCTCATTTTCCTTCTTACCTTCTTCACATCTTCCCATCTCCCAACAGAAGCATAAATGTTAGCCAAAAGCGTATGAATACTCGAATCGCCACCTTCAATTTCACTTAACCTATCAGCTAAAAGCTCACCCAACTCAACATACCATACAATCTACACGCACTCAACAAAGCACCATAAACTGGAACTAACATCTCATCTTTCTCCCTTGGGATTTTGTTGGCTATCTTTTCTGCTTCTTTCAGTAGCCCAGCTCGACATAAAAGATCAATTAAACACCCGTAGTGTTCTATCTTTGGTTCAATTTCATACACTGATTTCATTGATTCAAAATGCTTCCACCCTTCCTCCACCAATCTCCCATGTCTACATGCATTCAAAACACCTATGAAAGTAATATCATCAGGCCTAAACCCTGATTCATTCATCTCAGAGAACAGCTTCAATGCTAAACTGGACTTTCCGTTTAAGGAAAGTGCAAATATAATTGATGTCCATGAAGCTGTATCTTTATCATGTAACCCGTAAAATACCTCAAGAGACTTCTCTATACACCCACATTTTGCATGCATATCAATAAGAGCTTGTTCCACATACAGCATCGATTCTTATTCTATGTTATTTCATATATTCATGAATCCATTTCCCTTGTTTTAAACCCCCAACTTGTGCACAACCTGTTAGGAGAGCAACCATTGTGAATTTGTCAGGCTTAATATTGTAGCTTTGCATTTGTTGGAATAAGGACATTGCTTCATCTACATGATTAAACTGTACATATCCATTTATCATAGATGTCCATAGAACAATATCTTTAACTGGACTATTATCAAATAATTGTCTAGCATCCTGTACTTTCCCACAATTCACATATCCAGACTCCATACTTGTCCAAAAAATTACATTTTTATTTGGTAGCTCATTAAAAATCTGGCGTACTATGTGTAAACATCCACATTTGCAATACATGTCGACTAATGCATTACCAATTTTAGTTGTAAACCCGATATCATGAGTGACATAATGCATTATCAATTTTAGTTGTAAAACCCAACCTATTTTATGTGACCATTAAAAAACCATTATATTTTTTTTAGTGCATTAAAACGACCCTTGTATTTTCTTAAAACTTTTAATATGATGATTGTAATCATCAAACTCTTACGTATATTCGTTAACAAGTCAACCCAATCCAAATATCTAATAAAAAATTAGTTTATCTTTCTTCCACCTACACAATCCAATAAACCTAATTTTTTAACACACATTAGCAATCCAACCAAATCTAATTGGTCTTATTCGGTAGATAATTTTATTTTGTGTTTTACTTATTTTTCAAATAAATATTATTCTTCATTTTTAACAAGATAAAGTCTTTATAAAAAAATAGAAAGAAGAAATAGATAAATAAAGAGACAAAGTGGCGGTCTAAGTCGGGGTAACGAACCATTAAGAGAGAATCGTTGCTTTTTTATTCTTTTAAAACATTTTATGGTGATCTGATCACCATTGAGGATAGTCTTAATAACCGGTTAGTTAGCATTTATGGATGTCTAGTGTTTCCTAGTCTTAAAGCCTTAAATTGAACACTTTTATAGAATATAAGGGTTTTAACGCACTACAAAAATAATATATTAGTTTTCTTAATAACCGAATAAAATAGGTTTGCAACGTCCCAAATTATAGAGTAAATTTTTCGATTTTAATAAGATAAAACCATTCATTATATTTCATCAAAAGATAATCAAAGTATAAAACGTAGTCTCAAAACATCATAGAGAAAACATAATATACATAGTGCGGAAATATCTGGTGGATGCAATGCAATCAAGTTTGGCTCTTCCCCTTGCTACAAGAAGTACCTGAAACATTTAAACTGAAAATCATAAGCACAAAGCTTAGTACGTTCCCCCAAGATACCACATACAACACAGAATAAAGGGTCCCGCCCTGAACAATGGCCTCGTCCATATAATGGGCCCCACCCATAGAAATTAGACCTTGTCCAGCATGATTAGAACTCGTCCAAGTATTGGGCCCCACCCAGCATACAATAAACAAACATATAACCATGAGTCACAAAGACAACAAGCATACAATGACACCTCGTGTTCTACATAGTAGAGTGAGAAGACTTACCTCACAGTCAATGAAGATAACACCACAACTCGAAAGAAACATAAAGCTTGGTCCTACACACCACCTAAACATTAATCAAAAGGTCAACCTCAGTCTTTAACCTAAAACCATCAAGTTGACCAAAACTCAACCACGTCAAAAATTCAACAGTCAACGGTCAACGGCCACAGCGTCGTGGCGAGACCTTGGTCGCGTCGTGGTCCAATACAGTCAAAGTGATCGCGATGAATATGCCTACCACATCGTGGTCGGTCCATGACCACATCGTGGTTTGCCTCGCAAATTCAGAGTCATATTCGTCTCTTAATACATTATATGTGTTCCTAATACTTTCCAGATAGCTTCATGGCATCCTAGAGGGCCATATAAATCATAACTTTGTGGACATGCATGTCCAATGCAAGTCCTTCACCAATCTAGGTCAAAATAGAGGAATAATGGGATCAAAACTCATTCATGACACTAAATGGAGTTGATATTCCAAATCTAAAACACATAACACTCTTGGGACCTTAATGAATAATAAAGTTGCAAACTTTATTACTAACAACCTCTCAAAATTTCCTAACAAGAAGAAAATAGCTCAAAACCTAGATCTAAAGAGTAAGAACCACAAAGTTCAAGACTTAAAGACCTACAGAGGTCCAGGGGGCTCAAGGAGATAAAGGTGCACTTGCTAGATGATTTCTTTCTCAACTAAACCTTCCTTCTTCCTTCAAAGACCAAAAACCACCAAAAGGAGCTCAAAAGATGAAAAGGGAGGCTAAGGTTTGATGAAATATCTCAGGGAAATATTGGGGTTGAGGATGAGAGTAACCATAGCCCTTACAATCCTTAAATAGGGCTCAAGGTCCGACACTTAGGGTTTTAAATCCTAGCGGTCACTGCATCTTGGTGAGGGATTGACCATATTGTGGTCATTAAATGACTCTCGCGTCGTGGACCAGGTCCGACCATGAAGTGGTTTCGGGAAAATCCCAAAACCATAACATTGCAAAACATAAGACTTGTACCTAGAAATCCAAATGTTACATTTCTCCCCCACTTGAGTCAGATTTCGTCCTCGAAATCCACTGTTGCAAATAACGCAGGGTAATACTCCCTCATCTCCTCCTCGGGTTCGCAAGTCCACTCGGAACCCTTTCGGTACTGCCATTGCACTTTAACCAACTCCACCACCATGTTGCGCAAGGTCTTCATCTTCCTGTCGAGGATCACAATTGGCCTCTCAACATAATTCAAACGCTCATCTACCTAAATATCATCCAAAGGGACCATCAGAATTTCATCCATTAAACACTTCCACAGTTGAGATAATGAAAGGTGTTGTGGATCTGACTAAGCTCTTTGGGTAGATCCAACCGGTAGGCCACCTTGCCCACCCGAGCTACAACACTACACAAACCAATGTATATGGGGCTCAACTTGCCCCACTTCCATAACCATATGACACCCTTCTAAGGTTACAGCTTCAGAAGAACATAATCCCCAACTTGAAACTCAAGATTAGACCGACTGTAAGTCCCCAAATCGCTATGTATCAATCGGATTCACTAAGATGGTGCGGAATCCCAATCTAGTGAATGATGCAAGATGTAATATGGAATAAGAACAAGATGATTAATCTTCAGTGCACACTATTATTGAATAGTCGGGTACATAAGATTCTTGATTACACTTGGTTCTCTCTTGTTTCTCTCAAAATCACGTTCTTAGCTTATGGCAGCCCCCAAAAACGTCCCTGACACATTACATGGCTAAAATAACACTATTTATACCTAGACCTAATAATCAAAGCCCAGCCCAAAACCCAAACAAGACAATATTAAGCCTAACCGAAATCACATGTGATTTCGGTCCAAACAACACCAAAACATAGTGTTTTCGGTTCTAGATCGAGAACTTTAATAGCTTATGAAAAGCAAAGTATACACCACAAATTATGACCTAACAATCTTCCCCTTGGTTTATAACTTTCTTTTCTTTTTAATCTTCTCTTTGTTCTTGACTTCAGCTTTTATCTTCGATTTCTTCACAAATTCAAGATGAACATATGAATTTCTACATGAATGACTTTATCTTCAACAGTTGGACTTCCTTCAAAGATTTGACCTTGAACGCACATTGGGTGTAGAGTTTTCTTGTAAAGGTTCTTGAAAATCAACACTTTCAGCTTTGAAAAACTTCAGAGATAATAATTATAGAGAGCCCAATTCTTCTGGATCACTTCAGCAAGTTCATAGATAGAAACAAATTGATTGAGGAGGCTTCAATGCAATCTGTCACATAACTTCAAGTACAGCTTCACCTTGCTTCTAGGGTTGAAAGATTGAATGTTGAAAAATAATCTTCACTTCTTGTTCCTTCGAATGAGAATTCTTTAATGATCATCGTTGCGCCTTGAAAAGTAATCATGACTAAAAAGTCCTTGTAGATCACAGAATCATAAATACCCTTCTCACCACAGTTGTTCAAGGACCCAGCCTTGGCTCAGAAGGAGACTACTCGCAGTATCTATGTGAACACCGAGGAACGCACTGCGATTTGTTGAGTATCGGAGAACTACTCATGGTCTTTTTGATGTTGGCCCCTGTATATCATAGATCAAAGATCTCAATACAGTTTTTCAAGTTAAACAAGTTAACTTGGCCCTTGGCGAGACGTTCAGCGATAATCCTGCCTTGCGAGGTGCATCGCCTTGGTGTCATGACATTTGTACAGTTTCAGACTTTTAATTGCTTAAATACGACAGTTCTTAGAAAGTACTGCCTAACTGACAACTTGTAGAGTTTCAATCCTTCAATTCCTTGTGAAAATAGAGTGAAGTGTAATAACCGTCAACTCCTTTCCAAGTTTCTTCTCATTGCTCAGAAAGTTTCGATACAGTCTCCATGAGTCTCTTCTTCTTTTTTAATTTGCTTTTTAAGACAAACAAAACTTTGAGATAATAAAACTAAAAGTAAAAATAAACTTAACACACAATAGAAATAACTAAGAAATAAAATTAAAATTAAAAATACACTCAAAAGTAAAAATAAAATATTTTTGATTTTTCTGAAAAAAAAAAAAACTGGATTATATATATATATATATATATATATATATATATATATATATATATATATATATATATTAATTTTATGATTTTTGTTTCATTTTTTTATTCTCCCCCTAAATTTGTGCATAAAAAATATGAACAAATTTAACAAAAACAAAAATAATAACTAAATTTAAAACTTTTTGGGATTAAAGTTGTCAAGCAATTCAATATTGTTTATCAGCACACACCTGCATGTTTAGCTCTGGTCAATCACCAATATTGTGGTCCAGTTAAACACAAAGGATATTGACAAGTTGGATAGATTATAAATGACAAGACATTGCAACTATATTTCTAAATAGACCATTTTGCTGACGACGACCAAGGATATTGTTGTCCACTTAAATTCACCAGCCAGATCTA